AGCTGAACAGACACGGGTCCTGTAGGCCCTAAATTTCAGGCTTTCGGCCTGAAATTCAGGCTTTTAGCCTGAAGGACGCAGGGCCTGGAAAATGGCCCTCGTGTGCAGGCGCAGCATGTAACAGCTGCCCAGCCAGACCCAACACTATATATAGTGGGAGGACAGTCCAGTTCGACAGATTTCAGTTGGGCAACATTGTGAGCATCACGTTGTTGGAGCAGCATGCGACTCTGGAGTGCTGCGCTAGAGGTAGAGGTAGAGGAGTAGGAGGTAGTGGGAAAGCGGAAACTGGAGAGCCATAGCCGCTGGATGGAGGATGACTTACTTGGGCGCCATAGCTTCGACTGCACTTCAGCGACCTGCATCGGAGAGCGCCATTCCACCAGTCAGTGTCTGCAGGACTTCAGCAGCAGTAGGTGAGGGAGAGACAGAGGAGACTTCTTTTTTTTTTCTTCTTCTCCTCCTTCCTGACTCCAACCTCCATAGCCACTGCTCTTCTTCTTCTTCTTCTTCTTCTTCTTCTTCTTCAGAGAGAGAAAGGTTATAGGCAGAGCTATTACGGGCTATGGGGCCTAGGATCTGATTCGACATTCTTGGGGCAGACATTGGTTGGATACTTGACAGGGAGACTAGTTTTTTTTGACAGCAGTGTATTCGACTCTGGTCTACTCCCTCGCCTCCATCTTTGTCTCGCTCCTTTTCCTCCCATCATCTGTGGTATACCTCCCATGTGCATGCTCAATGCGGGGGGAACCTTGTCCTCTGTGTATGCGGCCTCCCTTCTCTCTCACATGTGTGATGATGATGGTATGAGTCAAGTCTGTCCATTGAGTCAAGTCGTATGTTTGAGTCTCCCGCTGTGCTACATTGTATCATTTTATGATTGTATGGATACACATTGTCTACCTGATGTCATCATGTATGTCATGGATCTCATTGAGTATGTCTGGGTCCATATCATCACCTCACTCGTCCTTTTGCTCCTTTGCCTTGCTCACCTTGTCTATAAGCATGCATCATCCGTTGGGCATTTTCTTTTTTTTTTCTTTTTTTCCCTCTGACACCACGGCCGGCCCCTGTAAATATGACACCCGGATTGACACCACGGTCGTCGGTACTTCCGTTGCCTTTTCAAACTCGGCGCGGTTTTCTTTGCCAATGCGTGTTTTTTTTGCCCATTCGATACTCAAAGGTGACATGAACGTACGTACCCTTTTTTTTTTTAACATGTCGACCACAAGATTCAGAGTGTTGAGCTAGATGAGACACAAAAACGAGGCAGCTAGCTCAACGAGAAAGGGCAAGGGTAGATGACAATGCTCTATAGCTTGTTGGAGATAAAGATTAGGGCGTTATGGAGAAGAACAAAGAAGCAAGTGGCTCTTAACCCAGAAAGGGCAAAGGATACCTTAACCAAATTCCAGAAAAGGGTACTAGCCCAGGGCAAAGTTGCGACCATGGAAGGAGAGAGACTTATCTTCCATTGGTTCAAAGAGGAGCGCCCGGAGGAGACTATAGATGATCAACCTTTGATACAGGAACTGAGGCTGCCATAACAATTAAAGTGAGGCAACAAAGGAACGATAAGTGAAGGGGGTAGTGAAGTACAACGAATATGGGTTATGGGTTTAGAAGACAACATTAGGGGAGAAATGAAAGTTTAGGACAGGGAGGAAAAATCGAAAAGAAAAGAGGTCTTTCCTTTGCTCTCCTTTCACTTCACATTCACTTCATATAATTCAACCGACCAATTTTAAGTACATCTTGCATCTTACGCGTCACGCTGCCGAGCGCATCGGCCCCGCAAGGGGACCCTCCTGGCCGCGTCACGCAGGATTTTGCAGAACTTCGTCGTAGAGCGCGGGTTGCCGTTCTGGCCGAGTGCACCAGCCGTACCTCTCGCGGGCCCCTATGACAGGACAGGGTCATACGAGGCACGTCTTACCTCCACCTGCGGGAGCTGTCACCATCCCTTCGGTGGGCGTATCCCCGCCAAGCTACCGAACCACGTGCGAAAGCTTTTCGTATGCAATCGCAGAGGTGGCCCGGCTGAGGCCGTTTCTCGTTCGCTGTAGCATAGGGGGTATGCGCGGTCAACGCCCCTCAATCGGACCCGTACGCGAATCGACGCATTGGGGGGCTGAGGTCCCCTGCACGACTCGTCGTTGGGCGACTAGGACGCAATCCACTCACCACACGTTACACTACAATAAAATTAAAATACACATGCAAAAACAAAACTCTCCTAGTCCCTTCAGTGTCCGACCCATAACCTTTTAACACGGTAATCGGTTAGGCGTCGCGCGCGAGACTCGAGATAAAACCGCGCGGGCGCTATGCCTTTCTCATATTGACCAACAATGAAAGCATGCGCACGCAGTCGCAATGATTGAGTACCGTGTGGTACCCATAATCAGGCGATCCTCGATGATCTCAAGGGTCATGATCGACACTCAAGTGTCGACTGACAAGTGCCTTGAGGGGTTAATCTCTTGACGCTAGACAACCGCCAAGGCGGCTGATCACCACACCCTCTTCTGCACCCTGCAGAGAGTGGGTGGTACACAGGTTCAGACCTGTGGTGGCAGTCAACTCTCGCGGCCTTGGGGACAAGCTCCATCATCCAAGGTCTGGAGAGAAATTAAGGGGTTTGACTTTGACGGGTACCACGGACTACAACGTCCAACCATAATAACTCTAAAAAGCAAAAATGTGAAGGAATCTCCCTTCTCAAGATATAGCTTGTTTAACTCTCGCACGTGGTCACAACAGATTGTGATGACACTAAACGTATATGAAATATGGGAATGCATGTATACATTTATGAAAGGTTGTGAAATGTGCGACCACCAGTTTTCACAACCACAGTTAGTGAAGGTAGTTCAAGAAGAAGTTTGTGTGGTTTCAAACGATCACTCTCACAATAGTAGTGTGGCTTGTCCATCCAAATCCATACAACACTCAGATTATCAGCAA